ACGGTTTTTTCACCCAGATCTGTTTTTTTAACCTTTCCTGGGTTCACGTCTCGGACAAATTAACGGCCGGACTCGCGGCCAATTTCAAAATTCAATGATCAAGGAATATCTCTCAAACTACTGAACTTAACTCGATGAAACTTGGTACACGTATTCATTAGGACCTAACGGTAATGTTTAGCTCGTGAAATTTTTTTTTAATTTGTCTTCATTTGTTTTTGCCACAGTTATATGGCAATACTGGCCGAACTTTACAGGGATCAAGGAATTGCTTCCAAACTATTGAACAGATTCGAACGAAATTTTGAATTTACAGTCCTAACTACCGAACGGTAATGTTTAGCTCGTAAAAATTTATTGGATTGCGCCTTTGTTCGCGAATTTTTTTTTCATTTCACCTTTATTCGTAATTTAAACAGCAATACGTGATTAAATACGTGCAATCAAGAAATTTCTTCCAAAACTACTGAATAGATTTGAACGAAACTTAGTATTTAAATACCTAACCTCAGCAACGGTGATGTTTAGCTCTCTACAACTTTTTTGTTTTGCTTTCGTTTGCGAGTTATACGGCTATACGTATACGGATATACGTAAACGTCTCCTGGTTAAACCGGCCGGTAGAAAAGCCGGTCGTTCCTCCTATATCGGCATAACTCGCGAACGAAAGCAAAACAGAAAAATTGTCACGAGCTAAACATCACCGTTGGGAGGTTAGGTATTCATATACAAAGTTTCGTTGAAATCTGTTAAGTAGTTTAGAAGAAATTTCTCGATCGCCGCGAATTTAAGCGACAAATTATCGGTCGATACGGGCCGAATATAAGGAAGTGTGAAATCAAGAATGACGGTTAATTAAAAAAAAAAACTTGCAAGCGAAGGTAAAATTTTTTTTACAAGCTAATAAAATTTTTTTACAAGCTAAAAAAATCACCGTTTGGTAGTTAGGAATGTATATTCAAAATTTCGTTCAAATCTGTTCAGTAGTTTAGAAGAAATTCTGTGATCTCTGCGAATTTCGGCCTGTATCGCAATATAACTCACGAATGAAGGTAAAATTTAATAATTTTTACGAGCTAAAAGTCCGCGTTAGGTTCTGATGAATACATGTTCTAAGTTTCATTGCACTGCATTCATTAGTTTGGGAGATATTACTTGATAATTGAATTTGGAGATTGGTCGTACGACCGGCCACGAGTCCGGCCGTACATTTGCCCGAGACGTCCTAGGATTCTAGTGCTGAAACAGTTAAAACAGCATAAAAACATATTGGTTCACTAAATGGGGTTCTATTTGTGAAATAAACATTTGTTTTTAACTTCTATCTTTGGAAATTGCAGCGTACTAAATTTCAAGAAAGAGGCGTATGTTTTTATATGTGTCTGTGGGGGGCGCTAGAAATTCACTATATAGGGAGCCAAAGGGGGCGACAGCCTGAAAAAGTTTGGGAACCACTGCTTTAGATTTTACTTAATAGTATTAAATATTATTTAAAAACCAGCATGATACATACATAATATAAATTACAGAATAAAACTGTACGAAAGATTTCGGTGTAATGTTGTCAACCTCAGCCTGTTATACTAGTGTCAACATGTTAGTTATTACTTGTTAAGTTGTTACCAGTTACCACTTACAGGTATTTTATCATGCTTCAGTTTGCTTACAGTTATTTTTATGTTTCACCTTCCCTACATGGATGTCTACTTTAATCTACCAATCTCAAAAATAATCCACATGCATACAAATAAAGACTGATTTTTTATATGTATATGTGGATAATTTTTGAGATTGGTAGATTATAGTAGGCATCCATGTAGTGAAGGTAAAACATAAAAATAACTGTAACTTTTATTTACTGTATCTATCTCGTACTAGTTCGGTTAGGTTAATTGCAATAAAGTTGCATTGATATGTTTTGAAAATGTTTTATTATCATTAAATGTGTATGAGTAAATCCCAATAGCAGAACAATGAATATTTAGAGATTTCCACTAATTTTGGCCATTGTAGCGGCTAATGTAGCGGCGCTACATTTTACTGTAGCGGTAGCGGTAGCGCTCGCTACAATCTAATGGGTGTAGCGGTAGCGGTAGCGGTAGCACCCGCTACATTTAGAGCATGTAGCGTAGTGGTAGCGCCGCTACATTTCAAAGCAACGCTGCCCAGCTCTGCCCTCACGAGCCGGCAGGGTGGTTCAGAGGTTATAACAGTTCGGATCCTAGTATTGGAGCAGAGAGGTGCGGGCTCGAAATCCTCTTCTTGCGCCAGTTTGGCCAGAATCAGCAAGGAGGCCGGGCGGTTAAGTAAGGCAAAGGAAGTAAGATTCACAACATGCAGTCCCGGGCATATGCCAGTCAAGGCACGGAATCGACACGGAGATGCCAGGTGCATTCACATTTTTAGTCCACCGTTTATTCACTATGCCGTTTGTTAAACCGTTTTTTGGAAATATTCAATTATAAGGCTTTCAGTTACTATTCGTGACTCATTTCGTACGTTTCAGAAATTCTAAATGCATCAGTGTTTATCAGCTCAACATGTTAATCATATTTTCATTCACTTTCTACAATACTACTTATGCGTTTACATTCTTAATTCTTAAAATAGTCGTTTTATTTTCGAACAATCAATATATTTTTCATATAGTTTCAACCCTGAATTTTTTTAGCTTCGATATTAGTTACAATGCCTTTTTATAATTAATTTAATCTCTGTTTAATTGATGAACTTAACGTGATAACGTTTATTGCGGAGTGCCATAATTGTCAATTAGTTTTCAAAAGACAAAATTACGAATATGAAATAGTGAAAAGATACCATTGAAATACTTCTTATGATAGAAATACACATCGTGCCAGTCAAGTCCCAGTCAAAATATTTTTTGCATTGATCGTGGCTGGACCGTGCCAGGCATGGCAGGTGCCTTGCACGGTTGGTGTGGATGCTTCTATAGAAATATATTAAGAATATTGGACTGGACCGTGACTGACAAGTGCCCGGCTGCATGCATGGTGTGAACCAAACCTAAGGATCGGCAGCAGGCAGGCAAGCATCGCCTAATCAACGCTGACACTGCTATCATTATTTGGCCAACGCAAAGGTATTCATGGTTAACTGTTAAATTTCCAGCGCGTTTAAGATGCCCGGTCCAAAGGTAATGATTTAAAAAAAACGAATGGCGACACCAAGTTTCCGCAGCACCTATATACACTGATAATTATAATTAATACATATTCAGAATATCATAATGAGGAGATAAAAATTTGGTTTGTTATTAGATAGATGGACTCTCAACTCCAGAAATTCGCCTCGCCCCGTATGAAATTAGTTATATCATGATGACGTAATATATAGTCTGTAAAATGAGTTCGGTCTGAAAATATTCACTTCAAAGTAGGATTGAACCTGAAAATAAACCAAAGAAAATAACCAGGCTTTCCTGTAATTCTTTTACACTTGGCGCTATACACGAACCAAGATCGATAAGTGATAGTTATTACTTAAGAAAACGCAATTTTTATTGCAGAAATTTTCAGGCTATATATCTGCTTTATGAACGATAATATTAAGATATTGCCTAAAGTGATTGGCGAGTCCACGAATGAGAGACAATCGTGACAGAAGTCCTACGCCCTTCCCTGCGGGTTATAGTTCAGCATCATCATGCATCATAGGTCAAACACATTAATATTGTGTCCACGCGAGTCCAGTTTACATGCGAAATACTGCAGTTATAGGTTAATAACTTCCTTACTTGCTGCCTACGGTTATCGGTTAAAATTTGGGTAATCTATTCTGAAGGACCGAGTTTTGTGTACATCAAATGACAAAAAAAGTTCATAATTTAGCACCAATTTATTGCGCTTATTTAGCTGTTATTTGTTGAATATTACTGTCCATTAAGCCACTAAAAGTAAGTGATGGTCCACCATGCCATCAAGGTATTGGTCTATCTTACCATAAAGGTGTTGGTGGATCTTGTCATCAAGATGATGGTCCATCACCTAGAAATTTTTGCTTTTTTGGTACAATTCAGTAATCGCTTTCAAGAATTATAATCTATTATTAGTTTATCATGCAATGATTGGTTTATCATGCAATGATAAACCAATCACTGAGAGATGAGATTTACCAAAAAATTATTCTAATAAATTTGCTTTTGAGGTATAGTGTTAAGGTAATTAAACTTTAATGTAGTTGGAAAAGTTTTGGAGCGGAGCACTTATTTTTTACCTTATTTGTGAAGCAATTTGAAGAAACTAGATATACAAGGGTTCTATACGGATTTTGAAGAATTATTTTTGATAGAATTTTTTCAGGGTGAAACTATAGTTTTCTGTGAGTAAGCCAATTTTTAGGTCCTATACGTATGCAGCTTTTCAATGTTTCCCGGCAGGCTGTGCCAGATTGAATCAACGATGGAAATAAAATCAAAATTCGACGTACCAAAATCGACTTTGCTTCGACGTTGATCCTATGTTGTTCTACGACTCTTCGAGTGTTGATGTGTTGGTTACATTTTGACGTTGATTCAACGTTTAATTTAGGTTAATCAAACATTGAAACCTGAAATCAACGTTTTTTCAACGTCAAATGACTGCTGGGTTTGATGCCGATATAGAGGCTGTTTGAATTTCTTCAGTTCTAGTTCTTCCAAGTTATTTAGCATGTCACTGCATCCGTAGCGCATGAGTTCGTCCCGTCCATTTTAATTATTTCCTAAAGATACTTAGGGCATCTATGCGTATGAATATTAGTTGCACAGTACATTTTAGTGCAAGCGTGCACAGTCCAAGATATGATATTGATTTTATCACACCGACAGGCCGAACCCGAATTTCTTATCAGAATCTAAATCACGCACCGATTACAATTATATGAATACGAACTCTTTTGCTAAACAATTATTGAATTATTCCCAGCTGAACCTCATTTCGTCGGTCGACGATTTTCTTATATTGTATAACTGAGGAGTGGTAAATAAAGACGAGACGTTAGTAGAAGAGGATAATAATTTATTTGAGATTCAAAGAAACGTATCATGGCATTGCAAGAAGATGAACTCAAAAAGATGGCGCGCCGTATGTTAGGCTAGGAGGTCCATAGGATCGCATCGGAGGGCCATAAGACTGCTTGGGAGGTCCATACGAGTTGCTTGGAGCCTCGTAGCTGTTGTCGGGAACCTCGTAGGTGTTGCTTGGGAGGTCGTCTCTGCTCATCTGACGGTCCTTTTCGTCACTTCTGTCTGGGACTCCATATGTTGCTGATGGGGGCTCATAAGACTGTTGGGGAGCCTGGTACGATTGAGTAGATTCCGGAGCCTCATAACTCTCCACTGGTATTTGAGTTTTGTGGGTCCTTTTCGCTTGCGGAAGACCATATGTGAGCTGGAGGTTTGGTGTGGCGTACTTCTCATCGGATTCCGGATCCATGTAAGTCTGCTGAATTCTCGGAGGTCCATAAGTTTGTTGAATTTGAGGTGCCACATACTTTTCTTCAGATTCTGGAGCTTGATAAGTTTGTTGAATTTTCGGCACTTCATATTTTTCTTCGGATTCCGGAGCTTTATAGGTTTGCTGAATTCTTGGAGGTCCGTACGTTTGTTGAATATGTGGTGCTACGTACTTTTCTTTAGATTCTGGAGCTTCATAGGCTTGTTGAATTTTCGGCAGTTCATATTTTTCCTCAGATTCCGGAGCTTTGTAGGTCTGCTGAATTCTTGGTGTCCCGTAAGTTTGCTGGATCTTTGGCGCCACATATTTTTCCTCTGAATCGGGTGCTACGTAAGTTTGCTGAGTTTTAGGAGCTTCGTAACTTTGTTTGGGTCTAGGGGCTTCGTAAGTTTGCTGAGGTTTGGGGGTTTCGTATGTTTGTTGTGGTTTGGGGGCTTCGTATGTTTGTTGTGGTTTGGGGGTTTCGTATGTTTGTTGTGGTTTGGGGGTTTCGTATGTTTGTTGAGGTTTAGGAGCTTCGTATGTTCGTTGGGGTTTAGGAGCTTCGTACGTTCGTTGGGGCTTAGGAGCTTCGTACGTTCGTTGAGGCTTAGGAGCTTCGTAAGTTTGTTGGGGTTTAGGAGCTTCGTACGTTCGTTGAGGCTTAGGAGCTTCGTACGTTCGTTGAGGCTTAGGAGCTTCGTAAGTTTGTTGGGGTTTAGGAGCTTCGTACGTTCGTTGAGGCTTAGGAGCTTCGTAAGTTTGTTGAGGTTTAGGAGCTTCGTACGTTCGTTGGGGCTTAGGAGCTTCGTACGTTCGTTGGGGCTTAGGAGCTTCGTACGTTCGTTGGGGTTTGGGGGCTTCACTGCGTTGAGGTTCAGGTGCTTCGTATGTTTGTTGCGCTCTAGGGGCTTCGTACGTTCGTTGGGGTTTGGGTGCTTCGTACGTTCGTTGAACCTTTGGAGCTTCATATTTCTCAGAAGATTCTGCTGCTTCGTAAGTTCGTGGGGGTTCAGGTGCTGAATAAGTTCGCTGAGGCTTAGGAGCTACATACTTCTCATCGGAGTCTGGAGTTTTGTGAGTCAGTTGGGTTTTTGGTGGCTCGTAAGTTTGTTGAACTTTTGGTGCTTCGTATTTCTCCTCCGATTCAGGGGCATTGTAAGTATTATGGATTCTCGGTGGGTTGTACGCCTGCTGTAATTTTGGGGCTTCATAATTCTTTCTTGATTCTGGAGCCTTATAAGTTTGCTGAACTTTTGGAGGTTCGTAAGTGCGCTGCTGCGTCTCTACCTCCTTCGATCTCTGGATTTCAGGAGCTCTGTAGTTTTCTCTTGATTCTGGCGCATTGTAAACGTTGTTCTGTGGTGCTTCATATGTCTGTTGAGGTGCCTGGTAGTTTTGTTCGATTGAGTCATCAGAAGAGCTAGGGGCGCCGTACGCATGCTGGGGCTGGTTGTAGGATGGCTGGGGTATGTAGGTTCTCGCTTCCCCTTCGTACAGAACTTCAGCCTGGTAGCCCTTGTAGTTATCGGCGGTGTAGGTGACAATCTGGGTGCGGCCGTCGGGGAGGAGGACGCGGTACTCACCGGTGGTCACCTTGCCATCGGAGTTCGTGTTGTGGCCGAAGTCGTTGCCGCTGTACTGGTCCAGTACGGCATAAGAGTACTTGAACGGCATTCCCTCCTGAAAATAAATGTCCATAGTAAGACATATGACAACAGTTGTACGATAAATGGCATAAATTACATTTTTCTGGCCACGCATTCGAGTTGCATTATTGGGAGAAAAGAGTGTAGCAAATCGTCGTTTTTTTATATTATCCTGGCACGAAGTTCTTGTTACATAAAATTTTGAATAACAGGTAGCCTAACATGATAAAATTTGTATTAGAAAAATCAATTTGTGAGACAAATTTTTATTAGAAAAATCAATTTGTGAGAAACCCACGAGTTCATTGGCGGTAGAAATGAAATAATAAAATTTTCAGCACATTTTCAAATGTGATATTATTAACAAACGTTTAAATTCAAATTTTAGGAAGACTTCTACTGTAATAAGTAATATCTCAACCTCATAGCTGTCTGTACGAGCTGGCGTGTATGTTGGAGGCTGGTAGGACTCTCGGGACTCTTCTTGGTAGCCAGAGGAATCCTGAACCTGATAACCTGCCGGTTCCTGGATCTGGTAACCTGCAGGTTCCTGGATTTGGTAACCTGATATGTCAGGTCTTTTGTCGGCCCTGACGGCCACTAGTCCAGCCAGGCCGGTGAGAAGTATAACCTGTGTGATGGATTAAGATATAGATTTTGAATGACTCAAAATTAACACTAATTGCGTTAACAAAAACGATTATCGACAGTAATTATAACTAGCAGTTTATAGAAAAGTGAGGATGCCCTTAAACCTTTTACGGTTCTTATGCAGAAAAACCTATAGTCTGGAGCGTTTACCAGCTGATCTATAGTGCAGGTTAAAACCTGACCTGCCATTCGCGGGATTTACGAGCTTTATAAAACTACAGAAAAATGTTAAGGCTATCAAGAGTGCAACCTAAAAGCAGCATCAGGAATTGCGTTCAATAGTTTGTTTTATGCACAGAAGTGCTCATACATAGGTTTGATATTAATTTTTGTTTAGATAGGTATATAGTCTAAAAATTCTATGGTTAAGCAACGAAAATACAGTTTTAGATATCAGAAATTCTCGCACAGCATTCCCGTGTAGTTTAACTTTTTTATTTCGAATCGGAACATGCAATTTTTTGGTCATATATTTCAAAACATCTTTTGAAATAATTAAAATAGCGTTGTAACTCGCCTCTATGCTGCTGTAACTAACAGCAGGGTTAAAACTTAAACGTTTTGTAAAATGTTCAGTGCGCTGAAAATTGGAAAAAATTATATTTATATTGCATAAAAGAATATTATTCCAAACTTGCGTGACAGAGTTATGTGACTGCTTATATTTATTTTTACATATTAATATCATGCATATGATTAAGAGCGTAAATTATTTTTTAAATATCATTTGGAATTTTAAAAGCGGACAGGATGACCTCCGAAGTGGAACCAAAATAGTGAACAGAATATTTTTCCAGTCTGAGCGATATCTGTCATGCTTGGTGATGATAAAATTTTCTGTTCCAGCCAAGCAATTCTCGGGAACGAAATATTTCGCGAGCTATGGTAATTTTACCCCATAAACGAAGAAAAGTGTTAATCACATGAGCTCGTATCTCGGCTGGGCGGTTCGCCCTCCGATCCCCTACGTTTAGTTCCTCGTCGCTTGGCATATGTCAGCTCCGTTCTTCCTCAGCTTTATGGCTCAGTGAAAGTCCTCGGGTTATAAAAACCACACGCAGTTAAATGTTAGCAATTTAATGGGACATTCTCAGCCACTGTGCTCGGCTCGTCATGGTGAGGTAGCACATTTTTCACAACACTGGCAGGAATGCCCTACCCGCAAGATAGAATTCTCGCTCTGATATCTAAGTAGCTTTTACAAACATGATTATGTAAATGTTATTAAAATTAATATCTATTATTATGATCTTGTCTCATCCTTCGATGAAACAGTCTTGTGAAAAGTAAACGGCTGGTCAATGTGCGTTTCCTTTCATACGAAAAACATTCATTAATATTAACTTATAAATTACTATATTACGATTTAGAATAAGAAAAATGAAGAATGTATAGATTAATAGTTACGTTCGCAAGGGTGAAAATAATAAAAATATGTGATACGCTTACATACCAATTTTATTTTGTGGTGGGAAAATTAACTTATTTCAGTTCTGTAGGCTTCATTTTTAGTTAATGTCATTCATAGACTGTATATTTCTGATAGGTTTGCTGGAATTTAAATTATTTTTTTTAAACATCATTAACTTGGCTCATATGTACGCTGAACTTTATTATAGTATCTTATTGATACTAATACACCCGCGTCTTTAAAGTGAATGAAAACTACGGTCGCTTGACTGCAGTTCTGATCAGGAATAACACAGCTACCGTGAATTGAAAATTAATAATATTTTATACTGCCTGACATGCATCGTTATAATTGAACACGCGACCTACAATTAGTTCTATAATCTGTCGTAATTCGATCGTCTCTTAATTGCTTAACATACGCCCGCGAACGACTATTCCACGTGGATCATTATAGACAGGTAAAATCCTATGTTTGAGAATTAAATGAACTTATTATCCGTTAGTATATCATACATAATCGCTAAGTTCATTCGAGTTTAACCGCGTTTGCTCATTACCTTTGCATTCAATCGCGTGTAGTGTTATCATGCCTCATTTTACACGTACACATTTGCATGTATAGTTTTAGCGTGACGTTTGACGATTACACACATAATGGATGTAAAAAGCAATACAAGTTAAATTACTTCTTAAATTGAGAGCCACTTGTAGAACATTAACACAGTCATACTCCTCTTACAATGTATTAAACTAAATTTAAACTGCTAAACTAGCTGATGTCAGCTTTTTGAAAATGCTCTGCCTTTCAACCGTTCTATTGCCCACATCGTAGCTTACCTTCCATCAAAACTATTATCATTCACTTTTAAACCAGTCACAACGCAAACCATTGAGTCAAAGTTACATACTTTCTGCTGGTCTCCATATACTTACGCTGTCAGACGTAACATCCTCAGCAACGCACATAATATTAGATAAATTATTTGCTTTTATTCACTGCGCATCTTCACGCCGAAGGCAACGCGCCAAACCCTCACCTTAGCGAACATGGCGCGTGTCAGAGTCGAAGTCGAAGTGACGTGACACCGAGACCGAGGGTTGAATTTATACGCAGTGCCATGACCGCATTCTGTGGCACTGCCATGACTCTGGCGCCGCCCCTTGCTTAGGTCACGGGAATGCTGACGAAGGAAGTCGGTGGCGAGGAAGGAATGCCAACAGAGATTATGTGACCATCGTAAGGAAAACTAAAGGCACTTCTAATTGTTATTGCAACCGATTTATAGTTATGTACTATTAAGAGATATACTAGTAATTTGAAACCGTTGATTGCCAAGAGATGATTTGGTTTGTAGGTAATTAAAATTGCTGCTAAATAATTGATGTGGACTCGATACGCGGTAAAGAAATCATTATTTCAGTAATAAAGAACATTTATATGTTGAAGGTATCTTAAATGATGCATTTCATGAGTAATTAAAATTATTAAGTGCAAATTTTCCATGAAGGGTTTCTCAGAGATAAAAAAAGAAACCACGAGAGGTTTGTGGTAGCTGCAATTACGGGAAAACTGTACATGTAATTGGAAGTCAGGCCACAAAACCCATGAGCAAATTGAGTGGGAGTTTTTCTTGTGAAAACTTTAACGAACCAAGTTCAGGTTCACACCCAAAGTTCACCGAATGTCATGAATCAGTATTGACATTTTCAGCGTCTCAATTAGGTTAACCAACACGCAATATTCGAGCGCTTAAAGCTTCTCTGATGGCACCAAGCGCAAGATGATGTTAGGCGGAGAACCGCAATTCATCTGCCCAGATTGCGTTTTAGTCATAATGAAACTACTCGGCATCGCTGCTGAGGTAGAGAAACCGTCGTAAGTTTACGTTTTCATGGCCTCCTGATTTCAGCTGGCAAGGTCGCCAGCAGTGCTCATTTACAAGACTGATGTAGAGAAGTAGATCAAGCGGCCTGGCCTGAATCTAATTTTAAGGCGCCAGGGCGAATCAAAAATAATTTTCCTCCAGATAACGCTTCTGCAATCTGTCCCAGAATACGCTGGTACTTTAAAAGAGTTAGATATAATTCTTGCTCCGTTTTAGCATAGCAAATATAAATTTTGGGCAGGAAAAGCAGTCGTAAAAATGTTCTTCGAGGATTTCATGGTAAATTGAAACAATGAGGTAAGTAAAAAATATGGGTGACGTTGTATTAGATTTTTAGATTGAACGTTATTCAGGAGAGGAATATAGTATTTATTGGTGGCTCACGCAGTGGCGAAAGCCACGTAACGCTAGAAGCATCAGCAGGATTAGGCTCTAGCGGTAGGCCGTCAACATCCGAAATAAGATTTGCTTCACGACTTCCGAATCATTTAGGCTGTTGTTATCAAAAGAAAATTATACTGTAACAGAGCCCATTCGAAGATGAAATTAAAGGAAAAATAAACCAATAGGCTTCGGTAAATGGTATTGCAATTCAGTGCGGTATTACTTAGTGGTGTTAATATGAATTGAAATACTAGGAGTTCTTGACTGTAAAAGTTATAAATTACCAAAATCCAGTAAAATTTTAACGAAAAACACTTAAATTTTCTAAATTATCATCGGCAGCCAATTGTTATAATGTTGCATATAAACACATGAAGCCTGTGAAACTTTCACTTGAGAAGAATCATGAATAAAAATAACAATTGCAAATAGCTCAGTTACACGCAAGCATAAGATTTAAGTTTTAATGTTGCGCTTGACTCCTACTCGACTGTACCTTAAATTTTTTAAGGCATCTGAAACATGTTTACTAGAGGTCGTATCTATGAAATAAACTCATAATCAATGTTATTTCAACGTCATTTGCCTCCAAGGTCATTAATAAGTCTATCACTTAATCAATTCACACAGCCAGCCGGTATATATGGCTGACATTGCAGCCTATAAATATACATTGTGTAAGAGTGCTTATTTTTGTTCGGTATGTGAGCGCATGATGGCCATGAAGACGTTGCGTGGATCTAGTCAATAATTATTATGTAACAGCTCACCTTCGATACGACTTGTATTACCCGTCAATATTATACGAGTGTCGTCGTTCCATTCAGCCAGTGTACTCCAAAAATTCTGATGGTGGTACTGTCTATAAAATCTGTTTCATTGTTCCACTCAGTCAGTGTGGTACGAAAATTCTGAAGTTGTTACCGTCAATTATATGTGATATCATTTAATTCAGCCAGCGTATTACAGTAATTCTGTTATGGTTATTGTCCATATGGTGGAATTTTGTACTTGTCAATCGTCACCGCTATCAATGTTTCATGTAAAACGGTGCATGAAATCAAGAAATCGTGTGCGTATAATTCGTCATTAGGAATTGTGTTCTCAACAAAATACTTTACTTTAGCATGAACAAATGAATGTACGTTAATCTTCTTACTTCAAAGTACGGTTGATGGACCTGCAAATACGGCCAGCGTAGTCCGTCTACCCAACAGGTGCAGAATTTGGCTGACATTGAACTGCTCACATGGGAAATTGTTGACCTCAAAACGATTTCATTTTCAAGGGAGTTCTTTATCAGTTAATTGAAGAGTCTTTGTGCTCAGAAGTTTGGGCTTTGCCGCAATGCTCTGGGAGCACCGGTGTTTGTCCGCGGCGAAACAGACACCGCTAGAAGATATCAGAAATTAGATCTCGTAAATTACAGGGTATCTTGCAGCAAGTGATTGGGGGAGCCCGCAACCTAGCAGGAGATACGTGCTAATCTTGAGTTGCTCAAGTCCTATTCTATGAAGGATTCGATCGTTCCCGTTGAGGATAGAATAGATCTTTATTTTTCTGAAGATTCTGCCAATTACTATTCAGATTGGGAGAGCTTTCTGACATTTTTTTAGGTTACTGCGAATTTCTTATGATAGCTCGATGTAAAAAATCCTAATGGAGGATTCATTCAATTTTATTTCAAAATCTTGGAAGAGATCTTAATATGAGTGGTCAGACTTTTACTTTCAGTTTCCTTGAGATCGAGCTTACCGATCGAGCTGAAATCGACAATCGTATCCCGTTCCAGTTTCGCAGATTTATTTTATTGGTTCTGTAGTGACAACGAAAGCACTTCAACTGACCGGGCATTTGGTGTTTGTTTGATCGACGCGTGTGGGAGCGTCGATGAGAAGATGATGGGGGCACTGAGGTCGTATAAGGTAAGGCAGCCAAAATGCAGGTCATAATCTTGACCTAAAACCGTGATAAGTTGGCACAAAAATAAGCTTTGTTTGACCTCAACTGACAACAAATGGAACGCTTATCGGTTTCTAGTTGCAAGTTAAGCTGCCGCGGCAGTCATATTTTTATAAGTCGACTCATTACCATATGGTGCAGAAATAAGCTGTGTCATCTAATATGTTATTTTCGGGTCAGACGTACGCTTTGAGATCAATCAGCTATGAAGGTCGTATTATGAATTGTAGTTACATCGGGCGCAGTTCTGATAACGGATGGAATAGTAAATTGAGATTATCAATTCATTTCAATTGTTTCAAAAAATCTTGGATAAAAAAATCATTGAAAGTTGATTTAAAAATTAAAATTATCAAATGTGAAACTTTTTATAACCGCGCGTCGAAAAAAGAGTTCTCATTCATCCAACGGTGCATGGAGACGCTCGGGATTATTCACTGGAGTCAGCCCTCACTTGACACGTTGAGTGCGCCACCACCCACCTGGGTTGGCAGATGGCCTAAAAACGGTCAAGTCCGCGGACAAAAAAGGCCAATAATTCAATATTTACGAGTAAATTTGAGGCGCCCGGTGAATAAATTCAATATTCATTTTATACGTACTTTTTAAAATGTAATGAAGAAGGACCGACATCATTATGTTGTTTATTCGTTTCTTGAGGATGTGGTATACCGACATCATAAATTTTTACCGGACAACGCAATTAAAAAATAAACTAAATCGCGGGCATTGTCCGGAAAAAAAATACCCTGCAACCCACCGGTGTGTCGTGCCGCCCTCAACGTGTTAAAATCCAGCTCATTGTTTCAGCAGCTGCGCGAGTTTGATCGAAACTATATTAGTACCGCAGCTTCAGTAGTTTTTTTAAATGAATTGTAGCATTGCCTATTGAAAAGCTAATAAGCTGGCAACTATATCTCAAAACCCTGTCGTGGGGCCGCATTGGACTAGTCTTCAGATGCTCCGGCAAATCTGAGAAAAAGAATTGTAGTATATTCATTTACGCTCATTACAATCCAAGACTCTACTGATTTTTCACGAACTCATTTCTTCTACATGATGTAACAAGCAATAATTGTGTAAACTACACCATTTGACTTGAGTGATCAAATGATTTTATTAACCGAGATGAGAAATCTTTGCTAAAGTAAGATAAGAGAGAATTTGAAAGAAGAATTTCTGTCAATTTCGTTGTTTACTTTGAATAAAGAAAATGACGCGAAGGAAGTACTGTGAGTTTCCACCGAAATTTTCACCCAGAATACGCAAATATTTAAAAAAAAAATTCCCATGCACGCAAAATAAAGAAAATTTGCCGTTGCATTTGACTTGAACTTTGGTTTCGCCATTTGTTCTTCTCTGATGCGTTCTGGATAACCAACGAAAACCCTTATGATTTCATTCATCACTAATACAATATATGTATAATGTAGAAGTATCAATTAATTATGAAACCAAGTAATAATTTCTAGGAATCATCGGGCGAACGGTCACTGTGACCATGGCTTTGTTATTAGAGAGTGAAAGTTTCGACTGCTGGTCCGTAGTGCACCCAGAAGTACATAATATAAAGCCTTATTATAGTCCCAGGTGTTTGCTCGCGTGATATTCATTTCATTTCAAATTGCCTCACGAAGATCGCACGCAAGTTGACATTGGCAGTCCATGTAGGAGTTGAGCCCTCATGCTCTTCTTCACTGCCCTTCAAGAGGGAATAAGAATGCAGGGTTTCATATTTCATCATGGATAAAAAATAAAATTCAGGAAATGAAAAAATTTTTCAGTAAATGGAAGAATGGAGTTATCGAGAACTTCGGGTTAGGATCTATAT